TGCCAGGCAGGGGATGGCTAGTAATAAGAATAATAATAATTGATTTTTTAGGGAAAAAAATCTGGCCCTCCAACAGTGTGATCTGGCCCTCTATTTAAAAATTTGGGGATCCCTGATCTAGATCCATTTCTGTCTGGCTCCAGAACTGGCTAGGAGTTAGAGTCAGCTTTGATCATCTTGCTGAATGACCTGTACAGGGGACTAGATAGTAGGAGCTATGTCTGTTGGCTCTGCTGTGGTTCTCAGTGGCTTTTGATACCACCAACAATTGTAATTTTTCCTCCCTGTAATCAAATAGAATTTGACAGACTGGAGGATTTATAGGTTGCTAGAGAAATCATATTAATAAAATCTGTGAATAATCAAATCTCCAAATGTTTAAACCAAATAAACAACCATGTAATCTTTTCTATTCTGCCAAATCCAAGGTTTTGTGCATGTGTGTATGCATGTCTGATATACAAATGTTTCATTTCGACTTACTACAATATCTTTTTTACGGATATTCATTATGTCAGAAACTAGATTCATGTCAATAGAACATTTTTCTTTATGAAAATAACAAGTATCGCATGATTAATACTGTTGACTGAGGATATGCTATATGAACTTCCTCCTTCTGCTTCATCAGCCTCCCTTCATCCAAATGTTCCTAAGGCTTTGCAGGCAGTCTCTACTGGCAGACATAATGATCTAATTTGCACATGCCGCAAATTTGCATAGATTTCCATTTCTGATACTTAATAACTCTATACTTTGAAGGCCTCCCATGCTGCTGCTTGGTTACCTGGTAATATCTCCAGTTGAATAAGTGGAAAGTTGGATGAGTAGCCTCAACATGTTTCCGATATATTTGTTTGGGCTCATCATGGCTATGTTTGAAGGTATGTTTTCACAGAGCTGCAGTTTCTCCTGGACTCCAAGGCTGATATTATACATTCACCAACATGCTTTGTTTCTCTCCTTCCAGCATCAACTGGGCAGACAATTGTCGTCACACAGACACCAGCCTTTATACAGGCAAATCCTGGTGACAAAGTAATCATTCGGTGCCAAGCTTCCTCTTCTGTGGGTGCTTATATGGCTTTATATCGGTTTGTGGACAATCAAAAGCCTAAGCTACTTATATATGATGTTACCAACCGTTTTGAAGGAACCCCGGTTCGCTTCAGTGGCCAAGGAAGTGGCACTGATTTCACATTCACAATCAATGGTGTCCAGCCTGAGGACGAGGGAGAGTACTACTGTGGCCAGCGCCGAAGCCGTCCTCTACACAGTGATACATCTCAGTACAAAAACTAGCTCAGCAAGGCAAAGCATCAGAAACAGCTTGGCTTTTTTGTGACACTGTGCCTTCCCTCTGCTCATTCCCAAGGGGGTATGAGTGTAGTGGCTTCTCTGCATATGACATTAAAGTAAACTTGGCTTGTGGTAAAGTAGTGCTGAGAAAGGGGTGAAAAGTAGTCTAAAATGTTTGTGCATAAAGTGATTGAGCCTGTGAACTTATTTCACAATGTGTCAGATTGGGCCTAAAGTGTGCTCTAGCTGGTGTAAGGGACATTGCGCAAGAAACAAATAAAGTGACTTCTGCTGAAATAATTCACAGTACAAGCCCCTATTCATGAGGGATTCCTTCCATGGGTGGTGGTGGTAGTCCATCTGGTTCTGGCTGGTTGAAGTAGCTGCCCCCCAAAAGCCCAAAGTGAGTGGGGTGGATTGTATGGAAGATGGTGATCATTTAGGTAATCTGGACCCAAACCATGTTGGACTTTAAAGGTCAAAACCAACACCTTGTAGTTTGCTCAGAAACTATTTGGCAGCCAGTGGAGTGACGTTAGGATACGTGTAATATGCTCACTCCTAGGTGTTTGTGTAACCAATCTGGCTGCCATGTTTTAAACCAACTGGAGTTTGGGGAAAATAGACCTTGACATTTGGGAGTTGTAGTTACTGGGATTTATAATTCACCTACAATCAAAGAGCATTCTGAACTCCATCAATGATGGAAATGAACCAAATATGGCACACAAAGCTCCCATGACCAAAAGAAAACACTAGAAGGGTTTGGTGGGCATTGACCTTGATTTTGAGAGTTGTAGTTCACCTACATCCAGGGAGCACTATGGACTCAAACAATGTTGGATCTGGACCAAACTTGGCACGAATATTCCATATGCCCAAATATGAACACAGATGGAGTTTGGAGGAAATAGACCTAGATATTTGGGATTTGTAGTTACTGGGATTTATAATTTACCTACAATCAAAAAGTATTCTGAACTCCATCAACAATGGAATTGAACCAAATGTGGCACACAAAGCTCCCATGATCAAAAGAAAACACTAGAAGGGTTTGGCGGGCATTGACCTTGATTTTGAGAGTTGTAGTTCACCTACATCCAGAGAGCACTGTGGACTCAAACAATGATAGATCTGGACCAAACTTGGCATGAATATTCCATATGCCGAAATATGAACACAGATGGAGTTTGGGGAAAATAGACCTTGACATTTGGGAGTTGTAGTTATGGGATTTATAAGAGCATTCTGAACCCCACCAATGACAGAATTGGGCCAACCTTCCCACACAGAACCCTCATGACCAACAGAAAATACTTAAGGCCATCCAGTCCAATTCCCTTAGAATCATAGAATCAAAGAGTTGGAAGAGACCTCATGGGCTCTCCAGTCCAACTCCCTTCATCAGGGCAAGAAAACGTCATCAAAGCCCTCCTGACAAAGAGCCATCCAGCCATACATATAGATAGATAATTATGATTCACACACAGAGAGATATAGTATCATAGTTTAGAAATCGAGGTGCAATTCACTGCTTTCTCATTACTTTATTTTCCAGATTACCAGACTGGATCACAGCAATGCCTGGCAGGGGATGGCTAGTAATAAGAATAATAATAATTGATTTTTTAGGGGAAAAAATCTGGCCCTCCAACAGTGTGATCTGGCCCTCTATTTAAAAATTTGGGGATCCCTGATCTAGATCCATTTCTGTCTGGCTCCAGAACTGGCTAGGAGTTAGAGTCAGCTTTGATCATCTTGCTGAATGACCTGTACAGGGGACTAGATAGTAGGAGCTATGTCTGTTGGCTCTGCTGTGGTTCTCAGTGGCTTTTGATACCACCAACAATTGTAATTTTTCCTCCCTGTAATCAAATAGAATTTGACAGACTGGAGGATTTATAGGTTGCTAGAGAAATCATATGAATAAAATCTGTGAATAATCAAATCTCCAAATGTTAAAACCAAATGAACAACCATGTAATCTTTTCTATTCTGCCAAATCCAAGGTTTTGTGCATGTGTGTATGCATGTCTGATATACAAATGTTTCATTTCGACTTACTACAATATCTTTTTTACGGATATTCATTATGTCAGAAACTAGATTCATGTCAATAGAACATTTTTCTTTATGAAAATAACAAGTATCGCATGATTAATACTGTTGACTGAGGATATGCTATATGAACTTCCTCCTTCTGCTTCATCAGCCTCCCTTCATCCAAATGTTCCTAAGGCTTTGCAGGCAGTCTCTACTGGCAGACATAATGATCTAATTTGCACATGCCGCAAATTTGCATAGATTTCCATTTCTGATACTTAATAACTCTATACTTTGAAGGCCTCCCATGCTGCTGCTTGGTTACCTGGTAATATCTCCAGTTGAATAAGTGGAAAGTTGGATGAGTAGCCTCAACATGTTTCCGATATATTTGTTTGGGCTCATCATGGCTATGTTTGAAGGTATGTTTTCACAGAGCTGCAGTTTCTCCTGGACTCCAAGGCTGATATTATACATTCACCAACATGCTTTGTTTCTCTCCTTCCAGCATCAACTGGGCAGATTGTCGTCACACAGACACCAGCCTTTATACAGGCAAATCCTGGTGACAAAGTAATCATTCGGTGCCAAACTTCCTCCTCTATGGGTGCTTATATGGCTTTATATCGGCTTGTGGACAATCAAAAGGTTAAGCTACTTATATATGATGTTACCAACCGTTTTGAAGGAACCCCAGTTCGCTTCAGTGGCCAAGGAAGTGGCACTGATTTCACATTCACAATCAATGGTGTCCAGCCTGAGGACGAGGGGGAGTACTACTGTTGCCAGCGCCAAAGCTATCCTCTACACAGTGATACATCTCAGTACAAAAACTAGCTGAGGAAGGCAAAGCATCAGAAACAGCTTGGCTTTTCTGTGACACTATGCCTTTCCTCTGCTCATTCCCAAGGGGGTATGTGTGTGGTGGCTTCTCTGCATATGACATTATAGTAAACCTGGCTTGTGGTAAAGGAGTGCTGAGAAAGGGGTGGAGAGTGGACTAAAATGTTCATGCATAAAGCAATTGAGTCTTTAGACTTGTTTCACGATGTGTCAAATTGGGCCTAAAGTGTGCTCTAGATGGCGTAAGGGAGATTGCGCAAGAAACAAATAAAGTGACTTCTGCTGAAATAATTCACAGTACAAGCCCCTATTCACGAGGGATTCATTCCTGGGCTTTCCATGGCTGCACGAAACTGATGATAATAGTGAACCTTATTTATTTATTTATTTACAGTATTTACATTCCGCCTTCTCATCCCGAAGGGGACTCACTGTCACGTTGCCAGGGCTCTGCCTTATTTAGGCAGAGATGAATCAAACTCCCAGTTTTAACAAACAGTTGCGTGTGCAAGTGTGATACACCTCCCACAGCCAACCCAAGAAGTACACTCACACATGATTTTGGGATGAGCAATGGCCACAACTCATTTATTGATAACAGGAACAAGGGTTGGCAGCCAAGCATGGGTCCTGGATCACGATCGGGCAGCCCAATACTGCCCAATCCCACACACGCCAGGGTGCCGCCGGCACAATACCGGGCAAACACAACTCGGCACCCCTGGGACAACTGGGCGTCCCCCCTTTCCGCTAGGGGGGATACCAAACCAGATCCAGGGCCCATGCCCCACGCCAACAAGGAGTTGTGACAAGGAGCATAAAACAAGTAACTGATAACAGGTAACCAGAACAAGGTAAACAACCACAAAAGTAACCGCCAACGAAAACATGAACCGCATGCAGGGTGGGTGGGATGGATCAGCTGTTGCAGGCCCAGTGCCTGCTGGGGAGCCTGGGGCAGCCTTATGAAGGCTGCCCACATGGAGGGAGAGGCCAGCTCAGGCCTCTCCCGCAGCGGGCGTAGTCAGTTGGCCATTGGTCAACTGATCCGCCGGCGGGAAACCTTCCCGCCATCCGAGGGGGCTTCTGGGAGGAAGAAGCCCCCCCCCCATGCAAGAATGGCAGTGGGGGATGCCCTGCACCGCAACTTCTTTGGCCTGGTAAGTCGGGCCGTGCATTTTTAATTAAAACAGCACTTACTTGCTGGCCTTTTTATAGTCCAAAATATAAAACACAAAGATAGCACGCAGCTACAGAATAAACAAAGACTGATAGCAAAAATAACTTCATATTCAAAAGGGTCCAGTCCAATGATCAAATGCCAAGAGTTCAATAAACAAAGTCCAGGGATCAAGAGTCTATATCGTAGTCAAAAGTCAGTCCAAAGGTTCAAGGTTCCAGGATTCCAAGATTACAGGAGACAGGTCAGGATACCGAAAAATCCAACAGACCTAGGGGAAAAACCAGCAGCATCCACCACCAAAATACAACAGATACTTTTCTCCAAAAGATCAGTCTCAAGGTTAGCTCCTTAAATCCAATAACACCCAGCTGCAACCCATCTCCCATGAATTCCCACTTACAGATTACCAAACCCTTTAGAACAGTGGCTCTCAACCTTCCTAATGCCGCTTTTGGAGGGGTTGCGGAAGTGGCCTCGCAACCCCTCCAAAATGGCCAGCCGACCCCCTGGGAGTCACGACACCCGCAGGGAGGACGCCTCGCCTGCCTTGCCCCCTTGCTGAATGGCGGGAGAGCGAGGCAGGCGAGGTGGACTTTGTGCGGGCCAGGCCCGCACGGAGGATGCCTCACCTGCCTCGCCCCCTCGCCAAATGGCGGGAGAGTGCGGCAGGCGAGGCGGGTTTTGCGTGGGCCAGACCTACACGGAGGACGCCTCGCCTGCCTCGCCCCCCCAAATGGCGGGAAAGTGAGGCAGGTGAGGCAGGGCCAGACCTCGCGCGAGAGAGACCTTGCTTGGCCCACGCCCTTGGGGCGGGGCCAACGGAGGTGGCCTTGCAACCCCTCCAAAATGGCCAGGCGACCCCTGGGGGTCACGATCCCCAGGTTGAGAACCGCTGCTCTAGAACTAATACTCACATTAACCCTTCTATCACCCTTATTACGGTTCCTCATGTTGTGGTGACCCCCAACCATCAATTTATTTTCGTTGCTACTTCATAATTGGAATTTTGCTACTGTTATGAATCGTAATGTAAATATCTGATCTGCAGGATGTATTTTCATTCACTGGACCAAATTTGGCACAAATACCCAATACCCAAATTTGAATGCTGGTGGGGTTGGGGGAGGGGTTGATTTTGTCATTTGGGAGTTGTAGTTGCTGGGATTTATAGTTCACCTACAATCAAAGAGCATTCTTAACTCCACCAATGATGGAATTGAACCAAACTTGGCACACAGAACTCCCATGACCAACAGAAAATACTGAAAGGTTTGGTGGGCATTGACCTTGAGTTTTGGAGTTGTAGTTCACTTACATCCAGAGAGCACTGTGGACTCAAAAAATGATGAATCTGGACCAATCTTGCCACAAATACTCAATATGCCCAAATGTGAACCCTGGTGGAGTTTGGGGGAAACAGACCTTGACATTTGGGAGTTGTAGTTGTTAGGATTTACAGTTCACCTACAATCAAAGTGCATTCTGAACCCCAGCAATAATATAATTAGTCCAAACTTCTCACACACAAGCTCCATGACCTACAGAAAATATTGCTTTTTTGATGGTCTTTGGCGACTACTCTGACAACCGCAGGGAGGACGCCTCGCCTGCCTTGCCCCCTTGCTGAATGGCGGGAGAGCGAGGCAGGCGAGGTGGACTTTGTGCGGGCCAGGCCCGCACGGAGGATGCCTCACCTGCCTCGCCCCCTCGCCAAATGGCGGGAGAGTGCGGCAGGCGAGGCGGGTTTTGCGTGGGCCAGACCTACACGGAGGACGCCTCGCCTGCCTCGCCCCCCCAAATGGCGGGAAAGTGAGGCAGGTGAGGCAGGGCCAGACCTTGCGCAAGAGAGACCTTGCCTGGCCCACACCCTTGGGGCGGGGCCAACGGAGGTGGCCTTGCAACCCCTCCAAAATGGCCAGGCGACCCCCCTGGGGGTCACGACCCCCAGGTTGAGAACCGCTACTCTAGAACTAATACTCATATTAACCCTTCCATCACCAACCATCAACTGCCGAACATATGACACTCGGAGCGGATCACAATGCACACATACACGGCAAATATTCAATGCGCTTTTTTGACATACAAAACATACAGTCAGATTGAGGTCATTCAGCAGTTTTTCCACTTCAGATCCTGGAGGTTGCTTGATTCCGGCCACAGGGGGGTGCTGTCGCTTCATCCACTATGACGCCAAGCCTTTTGACCATAGCATTTCCTCCTTGCTCTCTGGCATTTTTATGGTATCATAAATTAACCTCCCTGCTTTAAGCGGTCCCTAATTTCTCTACTCACAGCACAGCTGTTTTCAAACTGTTTAGGTGAATAGTAAGCTGGGCTAATTAACACTCAGGAGCTCAACCCTGACTCGGGCTTTGAACTTGCCACTTTTGGTAAGCAGGGATTTATTGCTGCTAACAATTAACCAGCTGTACTCCCAGCCCAGCCCTTCAAATCCTGAAAATGAAAAACTCAAGAATCAAGCATATTAAAACAAATGAAAACATACTTCAAAAGCATCAGCAATAATTAGATCTATAGAATTTAAAAGAATACAGTACTCTGTAAACTGAATTCCGATCTCCAGAATTGTAGTCCAATGCTCAAACAGCTACTTCACACTTGTTATTGTAGAAAGCTTTCACCTCACAAAACATTCAAAAGCAGATTCATCATGTGGAAAATCAGAAGTTTGTATATGTCCATAAAACATTTTCTATAACATAAATGTCAAAAACATAGCTTGAATCTTTTAATAAGAATTTTTCTCCTTGACTGGGATTGATATGTGATATTCTTCCCATGCCTCAGTAACTTGCAAAGCACACTCAGGTGTTTCTGTGGGTTGGCCAGCATTTCCTAAAAGCAGAGACAAGAATTATCCCCTAGTCTTGCATGCCTTGCAGATTTGCATAGGTTTCCATACTTGACACATAATAAGACCCAACTGTGATGTTTGTCATTCTGCAGTTTGGATCTCTTGGTAACATTTTCTGGGAAACGACAGAATTATTATGATGACCTTCATAATGCTACAGACATACTTGGTTTGGGTTGTCTTCACTTTGTTTCAGGGTAAGACTTGGTAGATCTTTTCTTCCCTCTTATTTTGCAGGAACATCTTATGAATTCACCATGTTCTTAATATCTTTTCTTCCTTCCAGAATCCAGTGGGCAGATTGTGATCACTCAGACACCAGCCTCACTACATGTAAATCCTGGGGACAGAGTCACCATTCAGTGCAAAGCATCCTCTTCCATGAGTGATAACATGGCTTTATACCAATTCATCCCAGGAAAAAACCCCAAACTCCTTCTTTATGAGACGTCCACACGTTTCACAGGGACCCCAGATCGCTTTAGTGGGAGCTACAGTGGCACTGACTTCACCTTCACTATAAGCGGTGTACGTCCTGAAGATGAAGGGGAATATCACTGTGGCCAATACAACAGCTTCCCTCTACACAGTGATACGTTTCAGTACAAAAACCAACTGAAAGATCTATTACAGTCAAAATGACACAGTGGTCCCATCTACACTGACAGTATAATGAAGCTTCAAGAATACATAAAACCATGGCAGCCACAAAACGAGCCCTGCCAATGAGCACTTCAGTATGCATCACAGGGGATACCATGCATTTTAGAAAGTCACAGGAAAGTCCGACTTTAGCCAAAAAAAATGTGCTGCAGCAGATGCCAGGTTATCCCAAAACCAGGGCAAAATCAACTCCACAAAATGAAGAATGAATTAAAGACACCTGCCCCTGCTATTGATTTATTTATTTGTCGTGTCAGTGCAACCAGTCAGTTGTATTACATTTCTAACAGAACAAAACAAACAGACAGACAAAGCACAAAATTTGCAAGTTTGGTAGTTGATTAAATGTCCTTTGACCAGAATAATAATAATAATAATAATAATAATAATAATAATAATAATTTATTTGTACCCCGCTACCATCTCCCCAAGGGACTCGGTGCGGCTTACATGGGGCCGAGCCCAAATATCTGGCCACTTGGAGTACTTCTGGTGTTGCTGCAAAAAGGTCCTCCATTGTGCATGTGGCAGGGCTCAGGGTGCATTGCAGCAGGTGGTCAGTGGTTTGCTCTTCTCCACACTCGCATGTCGTGGATTCCACTTTGCAGCCACATTTCTCAAGGTTGGCTCTGCATCTTGTGGTGCTAGAGCACAGTCTGTTCAGCGCCTTCCAAGTTGCCCAGTTTTCTGTATGCCCAGGGGGGAGTGTCTCATTTGGTATCAGCCATTGATTGAGGTCCTGGGCTTGAGCCTACCAATGTTGGACTCTCGCTTGCTGAGGTATTCCAGCGAGTGTGTCTATAGATCTTAGAAAACTATTTCTTGATTTAAGTCATTGACGTGCTGGCTGGTACCCAAACAAAGCATGAGCTGGAGATGTCACTGTCTTGGTCCTTTCACTATTGGTGCTACTTCCTGGCGGATGTCAGGTGGTGCAATACCGGCTAAACAGTGTAATTTCTCCAGTGGTGTAGGGCGCAGACACCCCGTGATAATGCGGCATGTCTCATTAAGAGCCACATCTACTGTTTTAGCGTGGTGAGATGTGTTCTACACTTGGCATGCATACTTAGCAGCAGAATAGCATAACGCAAGGGCAAATGTCTTCACTGTGTTTGGTTGTGATCCCCAGGTTGTGCCAGTCAGCTTTTGTATTCCAGCCATGAAAGCCTTCGATAATAAACTGGAGAGCAATTAATGGCAGTATATAATGTCAAGCAGAGCTATACCTCAGAACGTGTTGTTGTTGTTGTTGTTGTTGTTGTGTGAATTCAAATAATTTCCAAAATATACCCACTCTAAAGTTGCTTATCACAGGTTTTTCTTGGCAAGATTTTGTTAGAGGTGATTTTGCCTTTGATTTCTTCTGACCTGAGAGAATGTGACTAGCACAATGTAACTTGTGGGTTTCTATGGCTGAGAAAGAAACTGAATTCCGATCTCCAGAATTGTAGTCCAATGCTCAAACAGCTACTTCACACTTGATATTGTAGAAAGCTTCCACCTCACAAAACATTCAAAAGCAGATTCATCATGTGCAAAATCAGAAGTTTGTATATGTCCATAAAACATTTTCTATCACATAGATGTCAAGAACATAGCAACCTCGTTTGAATCTTTTAATAAGAATTTTACTCCTTGCCTGGGATTGCTATAATGATATACTTCTTATGCTTCAGAAATTTGCAAAGCCCACTCTGGTGTTTCTGGGGGTTGGCCGGCATTACCTAAATGCAGAGACGAGAATTGTCCTCTAGCCTTACATGTCTTGCAGATTTGCATAAGTTTCCATACTTGACACATAATAAGACCCAACTGTGATGTTTGTCATTCTGCAGTTTGGATCCCTTGGTAACATTTTCTGGGAAACGACAGAAATATTATGATGACCTTCATAATGCTACAGACATACCTGGTTTGGGTTGTCTTCACTTTATTTCAGGGTAAGATGTGGTAGATCTTTTCTTCTCTCTTATTTTGCAGGAACATGTTATGAATCCACCATGGTCTTAATATATTTTCTTCCTTCCAGAATCCAGCGGGCAGATTGTGATCACTCAGACACCAGCCTCACTACATGTAAATCCTGGGGACACAGTCACCATTCACTGCAAAGCATCCTCCTCCATTAGTAATTATATGGCTTTATACCAATTCATCCCAGGAAAAAACCCCAAGCTCCTTCTTTATGGGACTTCCACACGTTCCACAGGGACCCCGGATCGCTTTAGTGGCAGCTACAGTGGCACTGACTTCACCTTCACTATCAGCGGTGTACGTCCTGAAGATGAAGGGGAATATCACTGTGGCCAATACTACAGCTTCCCTCTACACAGTGATACGTTTCAGTACAAAAACCAACTGAAAGATCTATTACAGTCAAAATGACACAGTGGTCCCATCTACACTGACAGTATAATGAAGCTTCAAGAATACATAAAACCATGGCAGCCACAAAACGAGCCCTGCCAATGCGCACTTCAGTATGCATCACAGGGGATACCATGCATTTTAGAAAGTCACAGGAAAGTTCAACTTCAGCCAAACAATATGCTGCAGCAGATGCCAGGTTATCCCAAATCCAGGGCAAAATCAACTCCACAAAATGAAGAATGAATTAAAGACACCTGCCCCTGCTATTTATTTATTTATTTGTCGTGTCAGGGAAACCAGTCAATTGTATTACATTTCTAACAGAACAAAACAAACAGATAAAGCACAAAATTTGCAAGTGTGGTAGTTGATTAAATGTCCTTTGACCAGAATAATAATAATAATAATAATAATAATAATAATAATAATACTTCATTTGTACCCCGCTACCATCTCCCCAAGGGACTCAGTGTGGCTTACATGAGGCCGAGCCTAAATATCTGGCCACTTGGAGTACTTCTGGTGTTGCTGCAAGAAGGTCCTCCATTGTGCATGTGGCAGGGCTCAGGGTGCATTACAGCAGGTGGTCAGTGGTTTGCTCTTCTCCACACTCACATGTCGTGGATTCCACTTTGTAGCCACATTTCTCAAGGTTGGCTCTGCATCTTGTGGTGCTAGAGCAGTCTGTTCAGCGCCTTCCAAGTTGCCCAGTTTTCTGTGTGCCCAGGGGGGAGTGTGTCATTTGGTATCAGCCATTGGTTGAGGTTCTGGGTTTGAGCCTGCCACTTTTGGACTCTCGCTTGCTGAGGTGTTCTAGCTAGTGTCTCTGTAGATCTTAGAAAACTATTTCTTGATTTAAGTCGTTGACGTGCTGGCTGATACCCAAACAACGGATGAGCTGGAGATGTCACTGCCTTGGTCCTTTCACTATTGGTTGCTACTCCCAGGCGGATGTCAGGTGGTGCAATACCGGCTAGACAGTGTAATATCTCCAGTGGTGTAGGGCGCAGACACACCGTGATAATGTGGCATGTCTCATTAAGAGCCACATCTACTGTTTTAGCATGGTGAGATGTGTTCCACACTGGGCATGCATACTCAGCAGTAGAGTAGCATAGCGCAAGGCAGGCCTGTAGCCAGGATTTCGATTCGGGGGGGGGGGGCTGAGTTTTTTTCAGGGGGGGGGGGGGTTTGGTTTGGGGGGGGCTGAGTCTGAGTGAAAGAGGGTCTACCCTAGCAAACCTTTTGTATCATTACCCCAATACCCCCATGCATATGGATATATTGAGTATGGTGATCAGATCATGATATGAATAAACATAACAGTTTAAATAATACACCAGTAAGGCCTTTTCGCGAACCACCATGAGAATTTGGGGGGGGGGCTCAAGCCCCTCAACCCCCCCCCCCCCCCGGCTACATGCCTGGCGCAAGGGCAGATGTCTTCACTGTGTCATGTTGTAATCCCCGGTTGTGCCAGTCAGCTTTCGTATTCCAGCCATGAAAGCCTTCGATAATAAACTGGAGCGCAATTAATGGCAGTATATTATGTTGAGCAGATATATACCTCAGAACGTGTTCTTGTTGTTGTTGTTGTTGTTGTTGTGTGAATTCAAATAATTTCCAAAATATACCAACTCTAAAGTTGCTTATCACAGGCTTTTCTTGGCAGGGTTTGTTTAGAGGTGATTTTGCCTTTGATTTCTTCTGACCTGAGAGAATGTGACTAGCACAATGTCAACTTGTGGGTTTCTATGGCTGAGAAAGAAACTGAATTCCGATCTCCAGAATTGTAGTCCAATGCTCAAACAGCTACATCACACTTGATATTGTAGAAAGCTTCCACCTCACAAAACATTCAAAAGCAGATTCATCATGTGCAAAATCAGAAGTTTGTATATGTCCATAAAACATTTTCTATCACATAGATGTCAAGAACATAGCAACCTCGTTTGAATCTTTTAATAAGAATTTTACTCCTTGCCTGGGATTGCTATAATGATATACTTCTTATGCTTCAGAAATTTGCAAAGCCCACTCTGGTGTTTCTGGGGGTTGGCCGGCATTACCTAAATGCAGAGACGAGAATTGTCCTCTAGCCTTACATGTCTTGCAGATTTGCATAAGTTTCCATACTTGACACATAATAAGACCCAACTGTGATGTTTGTCATTCTGCAGTTTGGATCCCTTGGTAACATTTTCTGGGAAACGACAGAAATATTATGATGACCTTCATAATGCTACAGACATACCTGGTTTGGGTTGTCTTCACTTTATTTCAGGGTAAGATGTGGTAGATCTTTTCTTCTCTCTTATTTTGCAGGAACATGTTATGAATCCACCCTGTTCTTAATATATTTTCTTCCTTCCAGAATCCAGTGGGCAGATTGTCATCACTCAGACACCAGCCTCACTACATGTAAATCCTGGGGACAGAGTTACCATTCAGTGCAAAGCATCCTCCTCCATGAGTAATGATATGGCTTTATACCAATTCATCCCAGGAAAAAACCCCAAGCTCCTTCTTTATGAGACTTCCACACGTTTCACAGGGACCCCGGATCGCTTTAGTGGCAGCTACAGTGGCACTGACTTCACCTTCACTATCAGCGGTGTACGTCCTGAAGATGAAGGGGAATATCACTGTGGCCAGTACTACAGCTTCCCTCTACACAGTGATACGTTTCAGTACAAAAACCAACTGAAAGATCTATTACAGTCAAAATGACACAGTGGTCCCATCTACACTGACAGTATAATGAAGCGTCAAGAATACATAAAACCATGGCAGCCACAAAACGAGCACTGCCAATGCACACTTCAGTATGCATCACAGGGGATACCATGCATTTTAGAAAGTCCGACTCCAGCCAAAAAATGTGCTGCAGCAGATACCAGGTTATTCCAAATCCAGGGCAAAATCAACTCCGCAAAATGGAGAATGAATTAAAGACACCTGTCCCTACTATGGAGCCCCTGGTGGTCCAGTGGGTTAAACCCCTATGCCAGGAGGACTGAAGATCGACAGGTCGCAGGTTCGAATCCGAGGAGAGGCAGATGAGCTCCCTTTATCAGCTCCAGCTCCTCATGTGGGGACATGAGAGAAGCCTCCCACAAGGATGATAAAACATCAAATCATCTGGGCGTCCCCTGGGCAATGTCCTTCCAGACGTCCAATTCTCTCACACCAGAAGCGACTTGCAGTTTCTCAAGTAGCTCCTGACACAACAAAAAAAAGAAAAAGAAAAGAAAGAAAAGAAAAGAAACCCTGCCCCTACTGAAGTACAGTAAAAGGAATTCCAAACCATAGCTATCAAGAAACACTCCAAGAATATGATCCCCTGGGAGGCCTAATTGATGACCTCTGCTCTTAACTGTCACTTTCCCCTTTTAAAAATGTCACATGCCTCTGGTGTATTGATGCACATCTTTCCAGGAAATGCAAAAAAAAAAAAAGCTGCACAGCAGTTTGACTCTAAGGTCTGTGTTTAATGTAATCATCCACCTGGTCTCAAACCTGTTCCAGACCTGTCAATCGAATCACCCATAAAGTGAAACTGGTTCCTCCCAAACTGGTTCCAAGCTGCATTACAGTGTTGGTGTACAATTTGAAACCTAAAAATTTACAAACATTGAAATAGAATTCAATAATAATAGTATTAAAAGCAAACAGTTAAATTATTAAAACTGATTGAAATGTATTCGGTGCTTTATGATTCTATGATTAACTACAAAATCAGAAAGAACAAGAACAGGATCAGGGCACTTTCAATCAGCCTAAACGCACCCAGAGATGATGACATCAACTTATAGCAGTACGATGACCAACGATCAAATTTTAGTATGGAAAAAAATTCACCCTGATCACCAACAGCCCTGAAGCTGTTGATATTATCATGATCAGTAATGTGATCAATGTCTTCAGCAGCCTTTTAAAAGCAATATGGGACTTGATGTTGCCCATTTGTTTAACAAAAGACAATGTAGACTTGAAAGTCAGCAGGAACTTCTCAGCTCTGCAGACATGTAACTATGCACAAACTTTGAGCAACCATTCCTCAGGAAACACAAAAACATTACTTGAATTGGGTAGTTGTAGGTTTTTTCTGGCTATATGGCCATGTTCTAGAGACATTCTCTCCTGACGTTTCGCCTGCATCTATGGCAAGCATCCTCAGAGGTAGTGAGGTACCTCTGAGGATGTTTGCCATAGATGCAGGTGAAACGTCAGGAGAGAATGCCTCTAGACCATGGCCATATAGCCCAAAAAAACCTACAACAACCCAGTGATTCCGGCCATGAAAGCCTTCGACAATACATTACTTGAACTGTTTTAGACTATGGTCAGGATTTTCAGCATTTAACAAAGGAAGAGGAATTTGTCTGTGGTCATAAATTTTTCTCCTTGACTAAGAATATTATTCCAAGTTCCACCTCATGTGCTTCAGCAATTTGAGATACTCTCGTAGGAGACAGCACCACTTCGTCAAAAAGAGAGGAAAAGGTTATCTCCGCCCCTTTCGATTTTGCATAGATTTCCATACTTGGCACCTCATAAGTCCCCAATGTGAATCTCATCAGGCTGTGGCTGCCTGGCAAGATTTTCTGGAGAAAGAGAAATAGTTGGATGAAGAGCATTACCATAATGTTCCAAATATATTTGATTTGGCTCACCTTGAATCTGATTAAAGGTAAGTTTTAATGGAGATGCCGACCTCAGTTCTCAGGCAAATGACTGGGGAAACTAACATGCTTCCTTTCAATCCTTCCTTCCAGAATCCAGTGGGCAGATTGTGATCACTCAGACACCAGCCTCACTACATGTAAATCCTGGGGACACAGTCACCATTCACTGCAAAGCATCCTCCTCCGTGAGTGATGAAATGCAGTTATATCAATTTATCCCAGGACAAAAACCCAAGCTACTGATCTATAATGGTTCCAGCCGTTTCACAGGGACCCCAGATCGCTTTAGTGGCACTGACTACAGTGGCACTGACTTCACCTTTACTATCAGAGGTGTACGCCCTGAAGATGAAGCGGAGTATTACTGTAGTCAAGACAACAGCCTCCCTCTACACAGTGATACGTTTCAGTACAAAAACCTTCTGAATGGTTTAATGCAGGAAGAAGGATACTGTATCACTCTATGGGATGCACAAAAATGTATGGAAGAACCAAGACACTATGAAGATTTGGAAAGAGAATTGCTGAACCAGTCTCGATATCCTCCATTTAAACTACAATAAATAAATAATAAATACCTTCCATTTAAACTAAAAAAAATCACTCCAAAAGAGGGCTTATGACTTCAAATAATACACTGGCAGTTGTGTTTTTTCTGGCTATTCATAGCACTGGAAAATACTGAATACAGACAACTTTCGTCCACGACTCCCCATCTCATGATTTGTATACTGTTTGTACTGGCCATGAGGTCCCAATGTGATTAATTGAGGTTAATTGTGTTGCTTCATAACTTCAGCCTCAGAACAAACTGCTGCAATGCTTTCCTTCCAAAGTCAGACAGTCAGGACACAGCTGGAGGCTTCCCTGGTAACAAAACATTAGGAAGAACTTCCTGACTGTGAGAGCTGTTCAGCAATGGAACTCTCTGCCCCGGAATGTGGTGGAGGCTCCTTCTTTGGAAGCTTTTAAACAGAGGCTGAATGGCCATCTGTCAGGGGTGCTTTGAAGACAATATTCCTGCTTCTTGGCAGGAGGTTGGACTGGATGGCCCATGAGGTCTCCTCCAACTCTCGGGGTGGGACCGAGAGCAGGGACTCATCCACCAATCACAATGCCTGGTCAGGCTCATATATGGAGGTGGGGTCAGCCAAATAGTCTGGACCCAAACTGTTTAGGATTGGGAAGAAAACTTGTAAATACCTGGAGAGCAATTAATAGCAGTATATTCAATGCTAATCAAGCTGGCCAATTGCAACAATCACACTTGTCTCCAACAGACAAGAGGTCTTTCTGCCACCCTGGTCTTCCACAGATATTTAAACCTCACTTGCCTCAGACCTCACAACCTCTGAGGATGCCTGCCAAATTTGGGTGAAACGTCAGGAAAGAATATTTCTGGAACATGGCCATACAGCCCGGAAAACTCACAGCAACCCAGTGATTCTGGCCATGAAAGCCTTTGACAACACATCTAAGGTTGCTTATCACAGGCTTTTCTTGGCAAGATTTGATTGTGCCTTTGCTTTCTTCTGACCTGAGAGAGTGTGACTAGCTCAATGTCAACTTGTGGGTTTCTATGGCTAAGAAAGGAATTGAAATTTGATATGCAGAATTGTAGTCCAATGCCCGAATTGCTACATAACACTCATTATCGCAGACAATTTGACCCCATACAGCAGGCCCGTAGCCAGGATTTCATTTCGGGGGGGGGGGGGGGGGCATTTTTGAGGGGGGGTTCGGGGGGGCTGAGTTTCGGGGGGGGGGGGTGAGTCTGAGTGAAAGAGGGTCTACCCTAGCAAACCTTTGTATCATTACCCCAATACCCCCATGCATATGGGATATATTGAGCATGGTGATCAGATCATGATATGAATAAACATAACAGTTTAAATAATGTACCAGTAAGGCCTTTTCGCAGACCACCATGAGAATTTCGGGGGGGGGGCTGAAGCCCCCAAAGCCCCCCCCCCTCCGGCTACATGCCTGCCATACAGCATTCAAAAGCAGATTCATCATGTGGAAAATCAGAAGTTTATGTATTTCCATTTAACATTTTCTATCACATAAATGTTAAGAACATAACAACCTAGTTTCGACCTTCTAATAAGAATTTTTCTCCTTGACTGGGATTGATATGTGATATTCTTCCCATGCCTCAGTAACTTGCAAAGCACACTCAGGCGTTTCTGTGGGTTGGCCGGCATTTCCTAAAAGCAGAGACAAGAATATCTTCTAGCCTTAAATGCCTTGCAGATTTGCATAGGTTTCCATACTTCAGATATAATAAGACCTCTCTGTGATGTTTGTCATTCTGCAGCTTGAATCCCTTGGTAACATTTTCCTGGGAAACAAGAGAAATATCATGGTTACCTTCATAATGCTACAGACATACCTGGTTTGGGTTGTTTTCACTTTGTTTCAGGGTAAGATGTGGTAGTTCTTTTCTTCCATCTTATTTTGCAGGAACATGTTATGAATCCACCCTGTTCTTAATATATATATTTTTCTTTCCAGAATCTAATGGACAAATTGTCATCACTCAGACACCAGCCTCTCTACATGTAAACCCTGGGGACACAGTCACCTTTCAGTGCAAAGCATCCTCGTCCATGAGTAATGATATGCAGTTATATCAATTTATACCAGGACAAAAACCCAAGCTGCTGATCTATAATGGTTCCAGCCGTTTCACAGGGACCCCAGATCGCTTTAGTGGCCGCTACAGTGGCACTGACTTCACCTTCACTATCAGCGGTGTACGTCCTGAAGATGAAGGGGAGTATTACTGTGGCCAAGACAACAGCTTCCCTCTACACAGTGATACATTTCAGCACAAAAACCTTCTGAATGGTTTAATGCAGGAAGAAGGATACTGTATCACTCTATGGGATGGACAAAAATGTATGGAAGAACCAAGACACTATGAAGATTTGGAAAGAGAATTGCTGAACCAGTCTAGGTATCTTCCATTTAAACTATAATAAATAAATAATAAATACACTCCATTTAAACTAAAAATTCTCACTCCAAAAGAGGGCTTATGACTTCAAATAATACACTGGCAGTCGTCTCTTTACGGGTTATTCATTGCACTGGAAAATACTGAATGCAGACCTAGTGCAGGTTTATACCCCTCTCACCCATCATTCCCAAACTCATAATTACTGTGCTATTCTTACTGGCCATGAAGTCCCCATGTGATTCATTGAGGTTAATTGTGTTGCTTCATAACTTCAGCCTCAGAACAAACTGCTGCAATGCTTTCCTTCCAAAGTTAGACAGTCAGGACACAACTGGAGGCTTCCCTGGTAGCAAAACATTAGGAAGAACTTCCTGACTGTGAGAGCCGTTCAGCAGTGGAACTCTCTGCTCCAGAGTGTGGTGGAGGCTTCTTCTTTGGAAGCTTTTAAACAGAGGCTGGGTGGCCATCTGTCAGGGGTGCTTTGAAGACAATATTTTTGCTTCTTGGCAGGAGGTTGGACTGGATGGCCCATGGGGTCTCTTCCAACTCTATGATTCTATGATTCAAAACTGCCAATTTGGCCTTCACTTAAACTTTAAGGATCTATCCAAGTGCTGAACCTGTTTTTCAGAGCTAGTTCAACAGCATCTCAATTGTACATGCATTTTACATCAAGTAGGAACATTCCAGTGAGTCACTATTCCTATGTTTCATATCAGTGCTTACTATTAAATTCTAGAGAAAGACCACATAGAGTTCATCCACATAAATTAGAAAAAACGGACAGTTCCAGATTCTGTTCCTATTGTTTCTTAATATATTTTAGAAATCCATACATATTTTGTTTAACTCATAATGTTTTCTTTCAGCACCCAGTACAGCTAGAGACCTTTTATTCCAGCTACCCAAAGCAGTTTATTTTAACCCAGTCTAAAACTGGAAAGAACAAGAACAGATTCTGGGACATTTCAATCAGTCCGGATGCCTTTTATGATCAATGGGTACCAGTCCCCTAAAGACCTCTTCAATGAAGCAAGGAGGGGGGCATTTTGATCTCCTTTGGGAGGGAGTTCCAGAGGTAGGGGGCAACCACAGAGAAGGCCCTTTCTCTCGTTCCCAGTGGATGTGCTTGAGATGGAGGTGGGACCGAGAGCAGGGTCTCATCCACCGATCGCAGTGCCTGGGCATGCTTATAGATGGAGATGTGGTCCGTCAAATAGTCTGGACCCAAACTGTTTAGTATTGAGAAGAAAACATGTAAATACCTGGAGAGCAATTAATAGCAGTATATTCAATGCTAATCAAGCTGGCCAATTGCAACATTCACACTTGCCTCCAACAGACAAGAGGTCTTTCTCCAAACCTGGACTTCCACAGATATATAAACCTCACTTGCCTAGTTTCCAACAGACCTCACAACCTCTGATGATGTCTTCCATAGATTTGGGTGAAACGTCAGGAAAGAATACTTCTGGAATATGACCATACAGTCCAGAAAACTCACAGCAACCCAGTGATTCTGGCCATGAAAGCCTTTGACAACACATCTAAGGTTGCTTATCGCAGGCTTTTCTTGGCAAGATTTGATTTTGCCTTTGCTTTCTTCTGATCTGAGACAGTGTGACTAGCTCAATGTCAACTTGTGGGTTTCTATGGCTAAGAAAGGAACTGAATTTTGATAGATATATAACTTTGTGTTTTTCCATATAACACTTTCTATCATATAAATGTTAAGAACACAACAACCTAGCTTGAAGCTTCTAATAAGAATTTTTCTCCTTGCCTGGGATTGATATGTGATATTCTTCCCATGCCTCAGTAACTTGCAAAGCACACTCAGGCGTTTCTGTGGGTTGGCCGGCATTTCCTAAAAGCAGAGACAAGAATATCTTCTAGCCTTAAATGCCTTGCAGATTTGCATAGGTTTCCATACTTCAGATATAATAAGACCTCTCTGTGATGTTTGTCATTCTGCAGCTTGAATCCCTTGGTAACATTTTCCTGGGAAACAAGAGAAATATTATGGTTACCTTCATAATGCTACAGACATACCTGGTTTGGGTTGTTTTCACTTTGTTTCAGGGTAAGATGTGGTAGTTCTTTTCTTCCATCTTATTTTGCAGGAACATGTTATGAATCCACCCTGTTCTTAATATATTTTCTTCTTTCCAGAATCTAGTGGGCAAATTGTGATCACTCAGACACCAGCCTCACTACATGTAAATCCTGGGGACACAGTCACCTTTCAGTGCAAAGCATCCTCTTCAATGAGTGATGACATGGCTTTACTTCAATTTATCCCAGGACAAAAACCTAAACTCCTTATTCATGATGCTAACACCCGTTTTGAAGGGACCCCAGATCGCTTTAGTGGCAGCTACAGTGGCACTGACTTCACCTTTACTATCAGCGGTGTACGCCCTGAAGATGAAGCCGAGTATTACTGTGGCCAAGACAACAGCTTCCCTCTACACAGTGATACATTTCAGCACAAAAACCTTCTGAATGGTTTAATGCAGGAAGAAGGATACTGTATCACTCTATGGGATGGACAAAAATGTATGGAAGAACCAAGACACTATGAAGATTTGGAAAGAGAATTGCTGAACCAGTCTAGGTATCTTCCATTTAAACTATAATAAATAAATAATAAATACACTCCATTTAAACTAAAAATTCTCACTCCAAAAGAGGGCTTATGACTTCAAATAATACACTGGCAGTCGTCTCTTTACGGGTTATTCATTGCACTGGAAAATACTGAATGCAGACCTAGTGCAGGTTTATACCCCTCTCACCCATCATTCCCAAACTCATAATTACTGTGCTATTCTTACTGGCCATGAAGTCCCCATGTGATTCATTGAGGTTAGTTGTGTTGCTTCATAACTTCAGCCTCAGAACAAACTGCTGCAATGCTTTCCTTCCAAAGTCAGACAGTCAGGACACAACTGGAGGCTTCCCTGGTAGCAAAACATTAGGAAGAACTTCCTGACTGTGAGAGCCGTTCAGCAGTGGAACTCTCTGCTCCAGAGTGTGGTGGAGGCTTCTTCTTTGGAAGCTTTTAAACAGAGGCTGGGTGGCCATCTGTCAGGGGTGCTTTGAAGACAATATTTTTGCTTCTTGGCAGGAGGTTGGACTGGATGGCCCATGGGGTCTCTTCCAACTCTATGATTCTATGATTCAAAACTGCCAATTTGGCCTTCACTTAAACTTTAAGGATCTATCCAAGTGCTGAACCTGTTTTTCAGAGCTAGTTCAACAGCATCTCAATTGTACATGCATTTTACATCAAGTAGGAACATTCCAGTGAGTCACTATTCCTATGTTTCATATCAGTGCTTACTATTAAATTCTAGAGAAAGACCACATAGAGTTCATCCACATAAATTAGAAAAAACGGACAGTTCCAGATTCTGTTCCTATTGTTTCTTAATATATTTTAGAAATCCATACATATTTTGTTTAACTCATAATGTTTTCTTTCAGCACCCAGTACAGCTAGAGACCTTTTATTCCAGCTACCCAAAGCAGTTTATTTTAACCCAGTCTAAAACTGGAAAGAACAAGAACAGATTCTGGGACATTTCAATCAGTCCGGATGCCTTTTATGATCAATGGGTACCAGTCCCCTAAAGACCTCTTCAATGAAGCAAGGAGGGGGGCATTTTGATCTCCTTTGGGAGGGAGTTCCAGAGGTAGGGGGCAACCACAGAGAAGGCCCTTTCTCTCGTTCCCAGTGGATGTGCTTGAGATGGAGGTGGGACCGAGAGCAGGGTCTCATCCACCGATCGCAGTGCCTGGGCATGCTTATAGATGGAGATGTGGTCCGTCAAATAGTCTGGACCCAAACTGTTTAGTATTGAGAAGAAAACATGTAAATACCTGGAGAGCAATTAATAGCAGTATATTCAATGCTAATCAAGCTGGCCAATTGCAACATTCACACTTGCCTCCAACAGACAAGAGGTCTTTCTCCAAACCTGGACTTCCACAGATATATAAACCTCACTTGCCTAGTTTCCAACAGACCTCACAACCTCTGATGATGTCTTCCATAGATTTGGGTGAAACGTCAGGAAAGAATACTTCTGGAATATGACCATACAGTCCAGAAAACTCACAGCAACCCAGTGATTCTGGCCATGAAAGCCTTTGACAACACATCTAAGGTTGCTTATCGCAGGCTTTTCTTGGCAAGATTTGATTTTGCCTTTGCTTTCTTCTGATCTGAGACAGTGTGACTAGCTCAATGTCAACTTGTGGGTTTCTATGGCTAAGAAAGGAACTGAATTTTGATAGATATATAACTTTGTGTTTTTCCATATAACACTTTCTATCATATAAATGTTAAGAACACAACAACCTAGCTTGAAGCTTCTAATAAGAATTTTTCTCCTT